CCTTCCTTCCTTCCTTCCTTCCTTCCTTCCTTCCTTCCTTCCTTCCTTCCTTCCTTCCTTCCTTCCTTCCATATCAGAACACCAAAAAAAATTATCCCTAATTGTATATTCTGACCCTAGTTAGTGAGGTATCATAATTATACAAGTTCTCTAACCCTTAAAGCACAGCTGTATTACAACTCAAGAAGCATTTTCTCAGTTATTCTCCAGCTCATGATGGTGTTTGTATAAGCAGTCTGCATTTAATACTCCAAAGTCAGCTGCTTTATAGATATAGATGCAGAAATGATTTAACAATCTTAATTGAAACTTGGTGTACTGCAGTGAGAAAATACCTGAGCTAGGATGCTGTGTCATCCACACCCATATCCACCACAATTGCAGTCATGTATGTCATCTTCATTTTATCTATTTATTGTTTTTCCAGAAATGTTCTAATATATGGCGTGCATATAACGCTCAAGGTGGTTAAACATGTGATGGCATACTAAATTACAATTCTCAGGGAGCAACATAGAAATGTACTTGCATGTAGAATATTTAGCATGCATGAACAAGATTTATAAACATGCAGAAGCTTTAAGAAGAACAGGTGATATTTTTATTTCAAATGGCACATCTATTGGCCATTTTGGGAAACCACCTGAATTAAGGCATATGGTGGTATGAGAGTGCTATTTCTCCAATAGAAGATTTAACTTGACCCCAGTGCTGATATCTTTGTGGCACTAGACCAAAATGTGTTGATCTTCCCAGGCTTCTTAACTGCACGAAAGCTCAGCTAAAATCTTTAAAATGAGAATAATGATATTTTAAAACATAACATTTGTGCCAGATGAAAAGCCTCTGTATTCTGACAAAGTTCAAGACCTAATGTTTCTGACAAGAAGCACCATTTCTACCAAGAATTCTAAACTGGGATAGCAGTGAGGGCTTCTGGGTACAAGTAAGCAAGTATTAATCATCTTGATTTCAAAGAAATCTAAACAGGACTCACCAATTGCTTTGTAAATTGGAATGTAACAGTGTTAAGCAGAGCATGCAAAATTATGTATCGTTTAAAATCCCTTAATGATCCAAAAAAAATGAAAATGGGACCTTGCACATATGAAGTGGTAGTCATCCCTCATGGAAGCTCCCATTTTTGTTATGACTGATGACAACAATATATGTTAATTCCAAAAGCACCTGTAGTTACAATAGTGATTATGGGAAACTAATTATCATCTACACAATGAGATAGGAGACAAAAAAGCTGTTCATGAGTTTTTCCCCAAGTAGTCTTAAATTTCATAGGGGCAGACATATCATAGGGATAAAAAGAATTTAAGCTGGAAGCCAAAGGGTTGCATAATCTTTAAAGACAACTTTAACTAGAAATTACAGAAATTTTTACAAAAAATACATTGTCTTGGCATTCTTTTCACCTGATATGTATATTTGGAATGTTAACATTTTTGTTGTTTAGTCGTTAAGTCGTGTCCGACTCTTCGTGACCCCATGAACCATATTGCGCCAGGCCTTCCTGTCCTTCACTGCCTCCC